GGTATGCCAACTCTAAGGGCACTGTAGCACCGGCCATAAAAATGGCTTTAAGCTCAGGTAGTTTAATAGTTTTCTTATTGCTTTCCAAATGATTTAATATATTGAACGCAATCGTGGGAATGGCATACATGTAATCGCACCGGTGTTTAGCCAATGTATGCACCAATTGTGTGGTAATATATTTACAGTTTGGTATCACTAGTAAATATTTACTTAAAGATTTAAATTATTTTTATTTAATGCTTTAATTAAAATAAATTACCTAGTGTACATGGATATGCACACATCGCTAGTATAGCTTGTAAGCCAATTGTTTGAAAAAATGGTACCGGGCTACATATTATTTTATGACCGCTATTAACACGCATATAAAATGAATACCCAGTTATTAATCGCAATAATCGATCAGTATATTTTATTTAATTATTTTATTTACTTATAAGACCTAGTGAGATAATATATGGGTAACATTTGACACAATTCGTTCGTGGAAAACCAAATGTTCTTAGTAGGATTATAAAAAAAAATAACTTTATAATAAATAATATTTAAATTATATTTAAGACTTAACTAAAGCAAACATAATAACAGCAGGGTCATCACAAGTAACTGCATTAAATACAGAGTCTGGAATAGGCTCAACATTTATATCTGGATCACTTATTAAATTAACTGTAATTTTATTTATATTATTGTCAATACTAAACCTTTTTCCATCGAGTAGTATAATGTGTTTTAATAAAATTAAATCACCAACATACTTTTTTGAAACAATATTAAAGTTTATTAAAGAAAACATTAATATCGTGTAAGTATTGAATGGGAGCCACAAAATAACTCGTGTAGATAATAATGAAATACTATTAGTAACTAATATTAAACAAATCTAAAATTAGGTCCGTATTTATATCGGAATTAGTGTGAAATTCTTAAGAAATTATCCAGCTCATTTGACTGATAAATTGGATTTATTGTACACAAAATTAAACCGAGTTTTGCGCAAGCATATACCACCGGTACCTAATTTAAAAATTTGTAAAAGTGAGTAATAAATAACTCTTAAATATATTACTAATTACCCAGCTATATGAGTTACAACTCCAAATTCCAACAACATCACCACGATGTAGATCTAGGTGATATAATTGTTTGACCAAGTTATTCACGTCATTATTTACATCCCCATAGGTTTTGCTTATATTCTCGTATTCGCTAATAAATGCCGTTTTATTTGAGTCTTTCATTAAATAATATTTTATAGTATTATTACTTAAATTTATAAAAATGTGCTAGACTTATTTCTCAAGAAAACTTACCTGTCTTAACACGAATATCAAGGAGATCAGTAAATCTCACGTAATCAAAACCATGTTTACTATAGCCATAAGCATACGAATAGGTCATTAAACCACCAGGGCTATCGAAAATGCTTATCAAGCAACTTTAAATAAAAATGGTTTAACTAGTGTTATTTTAGCAAACAAGATATTTGTTTTCTAGCTTGCACATGTTGTTTACAAATTAAATTAAATAATTAATTTAATAATTGAATTCATTGTAAATTGAAAATACCTGGATTCAATTGAAGAGCTCATTTCGTGGCTATAATTTTAAATCAACGAATTCATGTGAATTATATATTACAACAATAATTATTATAATTATTTAGCAAATATTTATAAAAATATTTTGGAAAACTTTGGTTGACATCATAATATTTCTGGGAAACAGCTTGCACGGCTATCAAATGTTACCAATAACAATTCAAATGCACGCAATTTCATGACAGTTCAAAAAATATAAATTAATGTCACACATTATATTTTTTAACCGGAACTTATATCAAATGTAGTCAATGCCATAAATAAAACAAATATTTATTTTTAGTAATTTTACTGGATAATTATATTATTTTATATTTATTATACTTAATTTCTCTCACTTAAACACACTGGTATCTGTTACATAAAATATTTATATTTTATATTAATACATTCTTGTATTAAATTAAGAAAAAACTAATAATTTAGATAGTTAATTTGCATGTTAGTTATTTTAAACTATTTATTGGGTACCAGTATGGTATAGGGCGTATCAACGCCACAAACGTTATTAACATTGAGTATCATTTTAATTATTAATATACCCAAGGTGCTGCACAAATTATTGACAATATTTAGTCTATTTATAAGTAATGTACAATTAAAAAAAGTTTTTTTGTGGACATATCAACGGGCAGCTAATGTTAACTGTTCCCAAATGAACTTTTTCTATTGCACGTAAAATTATAAAGCAAAATAAAAAATAATATTTTAACCGAATAGGTTACGCTTAAAGCTGATATTTGTCCTGGATTAAAATTTTAAAAATAAATCTTTATATAATAGTAAAGTATCATGAAATAATGAAATCATATTTTAAAGATTATTTTATTATTTATACAATTTTATACAACATTAATATTATATTAATATTAATAATATAAAACTACTAAAACATAGCATGTATTTATTGGACACCAGTGGGGTACAGGGCGTACGTGGCAATACCGCAATTATTATTAGCGTTACGTGCCATCTTGATATAACCATGGTCACCAAAGGTGGTACCAAACGAGTTCTTGACAATATAGTAGTCCTGGCCATTTTCAGTGCCATACCCAACAGCAACCATGTCGTGGTTTAAGTCCTTGAACGCGGACTTACACTGCTTATCGTTATAAACACCGCTACCGTTAAAGTTCTTGAATGTAGAGAGACTGGCGTCGATGCTCACAACTACCGGGCCGTTAGTGGCAATGGCCTCCTTGAGAGCATCCTCATCACCGGAGGTGACGTTGGTATAGCCAGTGATGGAAGCGCCCGAGTACTTGGCCTGGTAGCTGCAGTTTTGGTATACGCCTTTGTATGGATAGTTCTCCTCCTTGTCGAGTGGAGGGACAAACTACTACTTGAGTTTATAGTCCACGTACATTTACGGGACCCGCGTATGTAGCCCCAACGGGTGTGTCAGGTGGTGCAAAACGCCCCTATCCCAGTGGTCTAGAGGCCAAAACTAGGCGTGCGCGCTCTCTATCGTATCAACGGTGGCGAAGGCGAAGCAACCGCACTGGGAGGACAGGTAGATCAATGTTAGTCAAAATTTATAATTCTTAAATACTGTATAATAAGATAATCATTTGATATCCTTATAAAAAGTTGAATACTGTATGTTTCTATCATATATTTACATAAATATAAATGGTTTTGGTTATTGTTACTATTTTAAATACTAAATGATAATTAGTAACTATAATAATATTAATTTCTATTAATATATAATTTTAGTTATTTATAATAAGTTATGATAAATTCCTATTCTAATAAAATAACAATAATATTAAAGTATTTTCTACAAAACATTCATAAAGTCTTACTAGCTAATAACCAATAAAATCTAATAAAACTATTGTATAAAACCTACCGATCCCTGAGTCTTGACGGCTGTAACCACTTTCTTATCCCTCCAATCGACACTTTCGGGTAACTGTGCTTTTATGGAGTACGGCTTCTTGTCATAAGTTTGCTGTCCCTCCAGCCCCGACACGTCTAAAGTCAACATTTGTCTGTACTCTTCATCCGTGATGTCCGAGAACTGGTTGACACCCAATCGGTAGGTATGGATGCCTTCATCGGCCTCTTTGTTATGTCTGACAATCATGTCATAGGTGTCCGCAAATATCTGCTTCCGGAGCGCCTCCTCATTAGAGTTGGCGTAGTATTGGTTTTTGCGATATTCATGCTATTTATATGAAAAAAAACATTTTTAGAGAATTAGTTCAAGAATTATACAGAATTTAAGTCAATATTCTCTTACTTTGAATTTCTGCCACTCGTTGTCCACCTCTTGGCGGCTAATACTGAGAGCACTACTCAATGCTATGAATCCCAAAATGAGCACTAATTTCATTTTGAACTTACTTTATGTTTCAAATAAATTATAAAACTCAAAATTAATAAATAAGTTTATAAGACAATCGCTTTGACTAAACAAATATCTTATTAAAATTTTATAAAATATTACACTGTTTATATATAAAGTTTTAATCACTTTATTAAGCCCTTAAGAGATAATTATTTTCAATTCTTAGAAAATGTGTGCTCATTGAATGCTCAAAAATAGTGACCATGGTAGTAACCATGTAACTGAAATTGTCATACAATGTGCTTTTTGCATTTTTCCCGTAAAACAATAATTCATAAAATAAGTAAATATTACATTCAATTTTACATCCTGATAATTTCATATATCTTATCTGATATTTAGTGCTACTCTTATGGGGGTATATTGTCAATCACATGAATGACATAATCGAGTGCTAATAGAGTACTAATTCTCGTCACAAATAAATTAAAACATTTTTAAAAGTATGGTTCAAAATTTTAAAATATTATCACAATAGTATACGGGTTTAGGACATATATTGCATAATAAGCACTTTATGCTGGATAAATAATACATCAGAGAGAGAGAGAGAGAGAGAGAGAGAGAGAGAGAGAGATTTCTCAGCGTATTAATTTTACAAAATAAAATATTTTGTAATTTAAAAAGTTGTTAAATTAAAAAAATTATAAATAATGCTTAGAATTATTTTTATTGTTTTCTGTATATCCCGGGTGATAGCACCCGAAGTTACGATTAATACAAAAATCCATTAGTTATTCCATAATAATTTTTCAATACATTTTACAGCTTAGACTTAATATGAAAGGCAATCATAGGGTCTTCCCATTTGTTGTCCACAACTATATGTGCCGTACCGTCGGTTCCCACCTGAATAGTCCGGTTTGACGTGCATTTGCCGTCTATTATAACAAAAACACATTTTATTAAACATTTAGTTTCTCAACAAAAAAAGTTTTTCAAAACTTCATTTACCGATCAAATTGCCGGATATTATATCGCAATAAGTACCGGCCGGTAGTCCAGTCGGTAGTGTCTTATCAATGGGCTGGACGTCATTATTGATGGCAATGAAGGCTTTCAAAAATTTGTATCATTGAATGCCTGTTAGGAGAGCTATTATCCCGGGCACACAACCAGATGATAGGTTACTGGATGGACGACATCAAGGAACTGGAGGTTTTTAAAGATCACGAGTGGTATAAGACTGGGTATTATATACAATATAATTTAAATACAAAAGAATAAAATAATATCCCATTCATAAATAAAAATGCAAATGACCAAGGTGGTAGTGGTGGTGGGGGAGGGGAGCAAAAGGCATCCTCAGAGGCTTCGAAGTGTCTTCACTCAGGCCTACGACCCAAACTCTTTAACCACTGCCCCCATTCATAAATAAAAATGCAAATGACCAAGGTGGTAGTGGTGGTGGGGGAGGGGAGCAAAAGGCATCCTCAGAGGCTTCGAAGTGTCGAACTCAGCCCTACGACCCAAACTCCTTAACCACTGCCCCCGCCGTCGATGTGTACTAATGTGTGTATTCTCCTCAATGTTAGCACTTCTGTAACATTCATATTAATACACTGATGGTATGTACAGTATAGTATAGTATGTACTATTAATACATAGTATGTACTGTACTGAATGTGATCCCTATAATAACCCTTTAGCCTAAAGGCTTAGGCCATGTGCTTGAATTAAAAACTGGTAACGATATGAATGTTACAGAAGTGCTAACATTGAGGAGAATACACACATTAGTACACATCGACGGCGGGGGCAGTGGTTAAAGAGTTTGGGTCGTAGGCCTGAGTTCAGACACTTCGAAGCCTCTGAGGATGCCTTTTGCTCCCCTCCCCCACCACCACTACCACCTTGTCATTTGCATTTTTATTTATGAAAGGGGGCAGTGGTTAAAGAGTTTGGGTCGTAGGCCTGAGAGAAGACACTTCGAAGCCTCTGAGGATGCCTTTTGCTCCCCTCCCCCACCACCACCACCACCTTGTCATTTGCATTTTTATTTATGAAAGGGATATTATTTATTTTAAAATAATTATCAAATTTTAATGCAAAAGTGACCTGGCTATAATGGACAACAAGGGTTACATCAAAATTATTGGTCATATTAATGACATAATAATCAAAAGCGGAGTTCAGATATATCCTCAAGAAGTGGAAGACGTGATCGACAGTAATCCCTATGTATTGAAGGCTTATGTATGTCTGAAAACTAATGTTATCTATGATATTGTAATGACTTGTGATATCCATTGACAGGTGTGTGGAGTGCCTGATGACAGGTGTGGCCAAGAGGTCTGTGCGTGGATTCAACTGAAAGACCCAAATAAAAACCCCACCGAAGATGAGGTCATATTGTTTTGCAAACAAAAGGTCTCTAAAAATAAATAAATAAATGTTTATTTTATTATTTATTAATTAAAATTTTTACTTCAATTTAGATGGCTATGTGTAAAGTGCCCAGGTATATATTGCTTGTGGAGGAGTTTCCCATAACACGGACGGGTAGTGTGAATAAGTTTATAATGAGTGAGCAGTCGATAAAAATACTGGGGTTGAATAAAAATAATATTTAAATAATAAAAATTAATCTATATTATAATGATCATGTGCTTAACATTTATTTTTTAAAAGGTTAATTAGACTAGGTACACAAGCAATAAATGTAATTATGAGATTAATTATCGTTTTAAGAAATGCCAGACAATTTTATTGTGTAATAATGAACTTACGATTTTATATTATATTCCGGGTCGTAAATCATAATATGAATCCCAGAGACTCGATGTGACTTATCTCTCAATACAAATATTAAGCTATGCTTCATAGAATGATACATTGTGAACTTGGTAAATTCTATGTGACATAAGTTTAATCACTTTATAATACAGTCTGTATTTGAATTGAGAGATAAGTCACTTCGAGTCTCTGAGATTCATATTGACATGTGCTTGATACCAATTATTGATTAATAACAAGGACATAAGATGTTAATTAAAAGTAATATACCCTCTTAACCAATACTGTAACGATTACAAAATAAATTAGAAACATTGTCATTTCACTAGTATTATTACTAAATCACATGTACGGTATACCCCCTTAATGCTATTGATTTAGAAAATCCAATAAATGTTTGGTTTGATAAGTAATTGATTGACTTTTATTTCTTATATAAACGCTACGTGGTAATTTATATTTGCTTATTAAACGTAGTTATTGAAAGTAATATAACGGAAATGTTGCTAGCATCATTATTTGCAATAATTATAGTGAGTGTTAATTGTGTTCCCCTCACACAACCACACATAGAAAGTGAATGGATTGCGTTCAAGGTATGTGTGAATAGTATTTTATTAGAAGAATATTCTGCACTATTATGCAGAATATTCTGTTATACTTATAAATACTTCTTTATTAATTATTTTAAAAAGAAATAAATCTAATATAAAAATTAATTTTAAACAATTTTTATTAATAAATTTAATTTTAAGAAACAATTCCGCGATTCCAATGAATACTACGAGAGGTCGGCGGACGAGGAGGTAAAGCGTCGGCAGGTATTTGAAGACAACTACAGGCGTATTGTGAGACACAATGAGGAGACAGACAATGGTTTGCATACATATAGACTGGGAGTCAACCAGTTCTCGGACTGGACAGACCGAGAGTACCAACAATGGCTTAATAGACCCAAACCTAAGGCTAACCAAACCTTATACGTAAATACTGAACACCACTTTAGCAAACCCCCGGTTCCCCTCCCTAATAGTGTGGACTGGAGGGACAAACATGTGGTCACACCTGTTAAGAACCAGGCTAATGTAATTTTATTTTTTAAAATTTTATAAAAACTTAAATAAGTGCTTTTGACATGATACATAATATGACAAGCGTAATTAAATTAAATCAACATGGTTTAATATATTTCTAAAAATAGTGTGGCGGCTGTTGGGTATTCAGCACCGTGGCTAGTTTAGAAGGTAAATAATATCAATGTCAATTTATTGTAAAACTAATGATTATTAAATGACAAAAGATTACATAAATTACTAACTTTTAGGTCAATTGGCGCTGAAAACGGGTAAACTATTGTCACTATCGGAGCAAAACATACTGGACTGCGACTCGGAGTACGGGTGCGAAAGCGGGGGGTTTGTTGAGCACGCGTTTGACACCATCGCCCGGGAGGGGGGTATCGAGAGTGAGAGTCAGTACCCCTTCCGCAACGACGACGACAAGAGGTGTACATTCAAAAAGTCCAAAAGTGTCGCCTCTATCGGCAAATACAGTACTATAACCCCCGGCAGTGAGAGTAGTCTGGAGCACGCGGTGGCAACGGTGGGCCCCATAGCTGTCTACATAGACTCGGACGCCCCGGGGTTCATGAGCTACAGTTCCGGTCTGTACTCGAGTGCTAAGTGTAAGACAGATTACAACGATTTGCTGCACTCGGTGGCGGTGGTGGGCTATGGCACCGCCGGGGGGCACGACTATTGGCTCATTAAGAACTCGTGGGACACCACGTGGGGTGAGAGGGGGTACATGAGGTTAGCCCGTAATAAAGGTAATATGTGCGGTGTGGCCACGTTTGGCGCGTGGCCTACCGAGGTCAGTGCCACGTAATTTAACCTGTATATCCTGTATATTAATGTGTTTTTATTATAAAAATTTTTTAAATAATTATTATTTTTATAAAGTAGTATATTTTGTAATTAAAATTATTAAATGACATTTTAAAATAATTATTAGTAATTTAAAAACATGATGTATATACAGGTATTAATCAATAACTTATACTTTATATTTATATAAATAAACTAACCTTTTAAAATGTAGACTTTGTGTGTGGAATAAAGGGATAAATAAAAATAAAGTATTTTAAAAATAGGAAGTTTGTTATTTAATTTTTGTGATACTGTATTACATAAAATTATTGTCTATAAAAATTTTTGTTAAACATTACTTATAAATTATAAGTCATAATAAAAGTATGTACATGTTTGTTACAAATTTATAAAACCACTGTTTGTTTGGCATTGATCTGAAAATATTCAATAAATGCCTTCAGAAAGCTATTTATATGTTATAAAATAAAAACATTTAAAAATAATATGATATTATACGAGTAAAATAAAATTGACTAAGTAATTTAGAAATAAACATTTATAAAAAATTTATATTTGTTACAAAATAATATGTGGACGCATTCAGAAATATACTAATGTAATATAAATTCATAAATAGTATTGAGGAATAATAAGGTTTTAACAAGATTAATAATTATTATCTGGATTACAGGTTTAAATACTTATGTTGTCATAGTTATAACTTATAAGTAATTAATATATCTATATTACACATACAGTAGCTTTACAAAAGATTTTAAATACTTTATGTTAGAATATATATATCATTATACTTGTATTAATAAAATACAAATTATTATTAGTTATATTTTTAGTTATTTTTATTAAAATCATGACAACCCCATAATATCCAATAAACACGTTTATGATAAATATAATAAATAACTAATATAATAAATAACTAATATAATAAATAACTAATATAATATAAAATTTAATTAGGGAAGAATTTTTATTTATTTTTCACTATAAATATTCATCAAAAAATGTATAATATTACTCTGTATCAGACATTTTCAACGCTATACTTAACTTAACTTTCAATAAAGGTTATTTCAATAAGTAATGGACACAGACTGAGTAAAATGAAAAGATAATATTTATGAAAATAGAAATGTTTTTACTTATATTGAAACCTTACGGTATTAATTGTAAAAATGCAATGTTTAAGTATTTACTAATTATGTTAATGTTCATTGAGTATATAAACTTATTAGTAGGTGTTTGTTTGTCTATTATTAAAAATACAAACATTTTTGAAAATATATTTTGTATTTGTATTTTGATCATGCTTATAACCATGTTGCTTTCATACATATTCATACGCTATATTGAAAATGTACTAATTGAATTATATATTAAATTTAATATTTTTCACGTTAATTGTCACACCGCTAATAACAATGTATATTCATACTTGTATATTATAATAACATTTATAGCCAACATAGTTTATGTTATAATTGTTTTATATAAAAACCACCTTGGTGATATTATAATATTTAGAATAAGTGCACTGAACATTTCAGAGCCATTTGCCATATTTTATACGTATGGATGGATAAAGTTATTACAAACTATTTATATTGAAATAAATGTTCAATTCATAAGACTATTGACTATAATTAGTGATAAACTAAATAATCATCGCGATACATTTTCAACCGATGCCTTGGATACCGTTCCTCGTATATTAGAGGAGATTAGTGTTGATACATATAAAATACGGTTAACTATATATCCAATAAAATATATCTTGTTAATAATAATTATTTGTTTAGATTGTGGTGCATATTTGCTAGTTGTTTATATCATTAACAATTTATATGCTAAATGTGTAATAGGTAGTTTTGTATTACTAGAAAATGTGACATTTATTTTAATTGAATTTTATTTTAATTGCAAACTTCGCGCTAAATATAAATTTTTGAATACACTTAAGGATTTGCAAAGTATAAGCAGTTCTGAGCCTGATGAAATTTCATTATCACAATATTAAATAAAAATATTTTACATACTGTATATTTGTAGATTAAATATTATTAATAAATTGGTTGTAATTAATAAATGAATAATCTTAATAAATATTAATTAAAATGTTAAAAATTAAATATTTAATTGTATTGTTTTTAAACAGATATATTTATAAAAAGTAATTATAAGTACATAATGTCCTTACAATAATTATAAATTAGTACAAAATTAATGAACACATATTATGACAATTAATATTTTTATATTTATGAAGAATTTGTATTTTTATCATTTACATTGTATTAATTAATTAACATTATGTTGCTAATGATTAATATATTACTTTATAATTAATTATGGTACATTAAATTGATGTAATAAAATTATTTCTTAATGCCCTTATGTATTAATGTTTTATTACTAAATGAACGTGTACATTTTTTGGTCATAAGTGCACCAAAATATTTCCTAATAATTTTGTGTGTTTTATAATTAAATTGTTTGCAAATCGTTTAAAAGCAAACTCATTAAATTTGTCCTTATAAAAACGTTACTAATTATTATATTTATAAATTTATTAACATAATATATATATAACATTTAACTTGCATGCATGTATTAAACTATTTTGTAACAATTTGTTTTTATAATGTTAATATGTTTGTTGAAATAAAGTCTATTTTGGTTGTGAAATAAGTTTATTTGAATTTTGCTAAACTAATAATTTTATGTTGCATAGTGACAGTATTAATATAATATTTTAAAAAACAAATAAAAATGTATGTTAATAAATTTTTTAAATATATTTTGTAATTATTAAAAGTTAAATATCTCAAAT